TCCCAGGCCCCGGCCGACTCTCGTCAGCTCTTACCGATGATGACGAGGTGAGCAGGGCGGTCAGAGGGGAAGCGCTTGAAAAGCTGGAGGAGAGGAGAATCATTTCAGTTCCTTCCCCATGCAGCAACAAGTTTTACATCTCGGTAGGTCCAAAAGTTCACGTTCCTGATCCCCTTGATCGCTGGGACTTTCGGCTCCGCCCCCGTGCAAATCAGAATTTTCTTCCCCACGATCTGTTGGGAGAGTGAATCTGAGTGATCGACAAGAGAGGAGGATGGAGGAAGATTCAAGAAAAGATTCATGACAGGAGTGTGGAGATGCAACGGAAATGACGGAGATGTTGTCAAGGTGTTGAGAAGAGCAGATGGCACACCTCGGAAGAATTCCCGTCAGATCTTCTCACAAGGATCTTGTTCTGACCCTTGAAAGACGCTTGTCCGTGGATAAACGAGATCCCCGCTGGGCGAACCATCACATAGATAGCGAGAGGGACGGACAAGACAGAGACGGGACAGCACAAGCACGTCAACCATACAGGTCCACCACCACCATCAGCACGTTGGTTGCTCCACCTTTCTGAATCGCCTCTGCCGACTCGTGCGATTTCACCCTGGCAACGACCGACTGGATGTGGCTGCTGCTGACTCAGCAGAGGATGTAGAGGGCAGAGGAAACCTCTTGACTGGGTACAGGGAGGCGGCGCCAGGTGCGTCAGCCTTTGACAAGCGTTACTGAGACTCGGGTAAGTGAAGCCCTTACGCCATCTGAAGTCATCGTTAGCATGAGACAGGGGGGAGCACGCGTGAGGACAAGAGAGAAATTGGAAGATGGAGGGAGAGGAAGAAAGAGGGGAGGGGAGAGAGAGAAGTAGAGGAGGAGGAGGAGGAGGTGGTGGTGGTGGTGGAGGAGGAGGAGGAGGAAGAGGTAGGAGAGGAGGGTTCAAAGCTTGAAGATGGCGGACCTTGTAGTGAATCTGAAAGATTGCTCCTCCAAGATGGCCTGCGTCATCTCATCATGCCAACAACTTCAAGTCGTCAAGGCGCATCACATTCGTAGCGACATCTCGTTGCCTGCATGCAGCAACGCTTTGCTGGGCACACAGCCCTGAATGCAGCATCAGCTCCTCCTCCTCCTCCACAACTACCACAACCACCACCACCCTCCCCACCCCTCCCCTCTTCTCTCCTCTCCTCTCTCCTCCCCGTTCTCTTCTTCTCCTTCTCCTTCTCCTTCTCCCAACCTCACCCGACTCCCTTTCCCTAATCACCTCTTCGACCTGCCCGCTATCCCCTTCCTGCCGCCCTCACCACCATCCCCTCCCTCCCTTAACCTGGTTCGTACAGTCTCCTCCTATCTCATCCGCCTCAATCAACACAGTCTTGGCCCCGAGCGAAGTCCCGAGCCCTGCAGCCATCAGCCCTGCTGCTCCACCTCCTGCATCCCTCCTTGTCAAGAGACAACACAGGCCCCCTCCGATGACTCCCTCTTTCCTTCCCCTCCCTCCTATACTCCCCTTCTCCTTTCCTTCCTCTTCCTCCTTCCCCTTTCTTCAATACACGCCTCCTCGTCTCCCTCCTCTCTCTCCCCCTCCCTCCCTCCCTCCCTCCCTCCCTCCTCCACAAGCTCACCTATAACAACAAAGTCGTAGCTCGACGCGTCCTGTTTCCCGGGGATCTTGGTAGACAGCAAGGCCGCACTCGAGTTTGCGCCCCTTGCCACGACTCGACCAAATTTCTTCCTCACTGACTCCTCCTTCTTCCTAGACGCCTTATCAAACAGCCGGATGGTGGGCGATTGTATCGGCATGTTCAGCGCAGAGATACACAGCACAGAGAGGACGAGCACGGCCGTCCTGAAGATGAAGCCGGGGGACATCTCCACAAGTCCTCCCTCTCCCTCCTTGGCAGCTTCAACTGCCCCCCCTTGCGATGGCACCATGGCGGGCTGCTCTACCCCGGAGTGCCGCAGGAGGAACCTCTCCTGCTCTTCGAGAGACCCAAACGTCATCACGTACACGTACTCTACAGGACTCTGCACGACTGCCTTGCACTCCGTCATGAACATTTCCTTGTCCTCCATGTTCGCAAGAGTCACGTCCCTGCGAGCAAACTGAGCCCATAGCGGGAGCTCGGACCCTTTGAACTCTTCTTTCCATGCCCTGGAGTTTGGGTTTACAACGCGCTCCTGCTCCGCTTGCTCCGCCTGCACCCCCACTCCCTCCTTCGCACTCGCAACCTTGGGGGATTGAAACCAGGTTCCAACTATCAGAAGGAGGAGGACGATCAGGTTTCTGAGGATTTTTGAGGAGGAGTGCACAAAGGAGCTACACTTTCGGGACAGTGTTTTCCATCTCCAGTCCCCTTGCCTTTGTCCCGACGCCCCCGCACGCGATCCGCTCTGTACATTCCCTAGGATCTTTCGCCTCCACCCCAACATCTCGCAGTTTCTTCCATCGTTCCAACCTCCGCAGGTTGGACGCATCAAATCTTCTCTCCCCGCCCTCACTTGGCAGGAGGGACTGAATTGAGCTCCTCCCACACGGATCAACCTCGAATGGTGGAACCCCATCAAGTTCGCCTCTATACATGCTCCTCCTGCTGGTCCTCTGGACGCTGCTCCTGCTCCTGCTCCTGCTCCTCCTGCTCCTGCTGCTGCTCCTGCTCCTCCTCCTCCTCCTCCTACTCCCGCCCCGGCCCCTGCTCCGACAGCATTTGTCATTGCCCAGAGCATTTTCCAAATAACCGTTTGTAACGGTCTCAGTACCCCACCAAACCTAAGAGCTCCTGAGGGTCTTCAGAGGAGCAAATGGTACCGGTCATATTACGATCATTGTCAGGTAGCGAAGGGGGTGGGGTACGGCTGAATGTCGCGTCTAGAACGTAGATGAAGGAGAGGGAAGAGATGAGAAGGAGCAGGGATGGTGCGGAGCGGGAGGGGAGGAGGAGGGGAGCGGGAGGGGAGGAGGAAGGGAGCGGGAGGGGAGGAGGAGGCAGAGAGAGGACAAGCTGCAGATGAAATGAGAGACAAGGGACTTCAGGTGCACTGTGGCATGCGATGCTGGAAAAAACGATAAGTTGAGGGATGCAGGTGGGAAATGGAGGAGTTGACGCGTGTGGGATCAAGGGGCGATGGGGTGGGCGAGAAAGAGGAAGAGAACGAGCGAAGATGAATAGTAACAAAGAAACATAGGAAGACTGGTTGAGCTGCGAGATGCGTAGAGGGAAAGTGAGAACGTATCAATGGGATCGAGACTCAAATATTGAGGGGTAGAGAGAGTTAATGCCGCGAGGTGAGGGCCGATATGGAGCAGACAAGAGGGAGACACGCTAGAGTGAGGTGACCAGGATGAGGTTCCAGCCTCCAACAGGACAAGGGAGGTCAATAAACGGAGGGTAGTAACATGTCACTTTCACCGCGCCTGATGATCGATGGAGTTGGGAATACCTGTCAAGGTTTCCTGCATTCAACGCTCTTGACATCTTTGCAGATGAAACCCTCAGCTTCGTCGCTCCCGTGTGCATGAACGGCTAGCTGTGGGTGGTATCCCGCGAATGGGTTGAGAGAAAGGACATGTCTCGCACCTGACAACCGGGCGCTCGAGCTGCTAGTCAGGAAATCGAGCGACGGGCTCAGCCCAACATGTCGCAGGAGTCAGGAAGGATGAGTTCTTCGCAAGATTTTGCAGATGTATTCGATGGAAAGATAACAGATATGCCATCGGATTCTTTTTCGAGTCAGAACCATTTTGAGATTGAACCATTTCAGATCAGCTCGCAAGAAAACTATTCGCAAGAAAGTTATTCTCTGTCCGATGTGCATGCTACGGCAGAACGGATGATCGGAGGACTGTCCGAAAGGCAGGATGGGCCCAATCTCCGCGACAGCAAGGGCAGAAGGGAACATGAGACGTCAGATCGTGAAGATGAACAAGAGAGTCAATTTCAACGTCCTGAGGAAGGTAAGCTTCTTGGTTCTTGTCTTGTAGCATCTTTCTATCCAGTGCTATCAGTCTTTCCTCCTCATTTCAACCTGATACCTCATCGGCCTTGACTATTTCGCACTGACTCTTTCCTGTGCCCAACTTCAGAAGAAGCTGCAGAGAAAGCTGCTGATGTACTCACGAGCTTCAAATCTGCGAGTCAGGAGAGCAACCTGTCATCGAGCAAGACTGAGGAAGGGTGAGCGAGAAGACAGGCCTGGTCGAGATGTGTGAAAACTTGTCTCACAGAAGTCGAAGTGAAGAAGAGAACGCGGAGGGCACATTGGAAGAACAGAAGTACACCTTGCTCCTTCGCTCCCTCCCTCCCTCCCTCCCTCTCCCCCCCCCCCCCACATCACAGTAATTTTCAACCTGCTAAGATAACTTGCAGTGTTGATCAACGCAACGTTACCGCGCAATCTTCTCCCTGTCCCGCTGCAACGCAAAGTAAGTTGAACGTCACCGATAGCAGGCAAGAGTTGACGTGAGTCCGCAGACAACAAGAGAAAACAAAATGAAATGACAAAGGAAACGCCTAGTTCAAAGAAGCGTAAAGTAAGGATCCTGTATCCAAGTCTGTTTCAGAACGCTCAACGACGTTGGGCAGGCTGACGGCATCATTGCGCCTCAAAACGACTGGGAGGATGACGTGAGTCAAACTCTGCGAAGAGCATCCACCTGACGATGCCGTGCTCTAGAGTTTGGACTCGGACGAAGCGATCGTTCGGGACATGTACCGGAAGGAAGGTTTCGATGTCTTGTTCAACCCCCTCTCAAGCTCCACTTCCAATGTCAAGGTTTGTTCCACTCCAGATCTTGCTTTGGATGTTTTTGCTCCGCTTCCTGTCCTACATGAACTGCTGGCTCTCCTGATCGATGTTGTTGCAGTTATCCTTCAGAATTCAGAACAGCCAGGCAGTCACTATCAAGGAGCTCAGCGAGCATATCGTGTGTCCCTTTTTGTCTATTGGCTCGTTCCAACCGTCGTTGACACAGCTAACAGGAGAAGGGGTTGATGTTGTATATCAACAAGAGGTGCAGCTTCAAGATCAATGAGATCACAACTGCACAGAGCAGTAAGACCTCCCAGCTGCTCTTCCTTCCTTTCCGTGTCCTCTCCAGACATCACTCCCCTCTCTCCATCTCCCTCCTCTCCTCCACCCCCCCCCCGCCTCCTTCTCCCTCATCGCTTCTCCCATACTTTGCTCTACTATCCCCTCCAGCTCCACCGCTTTTGGTGCTGATCCTGGCCCTCAGAGGAGGGGAGGCTCTTCTTTGGAGGCGTCGTCACGATCGGCATGGAAATGCTCGAGCAGAACAAGAAGTCGCAAAAGGCATCGATCCGCCTCTTCGGCTTCAACAACAAGGACCCTGAGAAGAGGCACAAGGCCCAGTACTCCGGGCAGCTGTCGAGCAACGAGGATCTCTTCCCCCTCTTCCGATGCCTCTTCGAGCAGCAGGGCCGAAAGATCGAAGACCTCCAGCTCTCTCCAAACCCCGTCTTCTCCTCCACCGACAACGCGGTAGGTGACGGTCAGGGTGCTCGCTCGACCTGGGAAATCTGAAGCAGCGAGGGGAGGGGAAGGGGAAGGGGAGGAGAAAGGGAGGCAGAGCGGATGGGAAAGGGGCTAGGGTTGAGAAGTAAGACTGATGGCAGGTCATGGACCCCAGCTACGGGTTTGACGTTGACCGGATGGCGAAGGTGCTGGAGAGGTTGAAGGAGGAGAACAAGGTGGAGAAATACAGCAAGCAGGTGAAGGAGGAGAGGAGGAGGAGGAGGAGGAGACGAAAGGTGAGAACCTGGAGCAGTTGACGGGGGCGATCAATTTCAATTTCTTTGTGGAGAAAGGAGAACTCAAGCTATGCTTCAGTGCTACTGTGCAAAAGAGCGGATCAATCCAGGCATACCTCCCTCCCTCTCCCTCCCTCGCTCCCTCCCTCGCTCCCTCGCTCGCTCCCTCCCTCGCTCCCTCCCTCGCTCCCTCGCTCGCTCCCTCCCTCCCTCCCTCCCTCCCTCCCTCCCTCCCTCCCTCCCTTCATTTTCTACTTTCCTCCCCTGGCTGTCTGCCGCCTTCTCGCCTTCCTCCCTTTTCCTTCTCTTCTCCCATGTAGTCCGTCTTGACATCTCCTCTTGTTTGTTCTGCCTGTCACACCTCTTCCCCTCTCACCGAATCCTAACGAGCCTCACAGCTCATGCTCGTGAAAAACCCTCGTCGAACTCGGTTGGAGACGATGAGATTTCTCCTCACCTACTGCAGGTCAACATGCAGTGAAGGAGTCAAGGAGGAGAGGGGAAGTGAGCCAGGGCAGGGCAGGGCAGGGCAGGGCAGGGCAGGGCAGGGCAGGGCAGGGCAGGGCAGGGCAAGGAGGAGGACGGAGGAAGTGGAGGAGGGAGGAAGGGAGGGAGCAGAGAGGGAGGGAAGGACGAGGAGGAGGGGGGCTTTTGATAAACTGACAGCTGCTCAGGGACTGCATAGTCTCCCTTGAATCGCTCAAACTCAACAGGAGGACTCTTGATAAGCGCAACCGGGTTGCACGTCCCAACCACTCAATCAGCCTTTAGAAATTTCGCCTCCTCCTCTTTCTTCTCCTCCTCCGCCCTCTCGCCCCCTTTCCCATCCCTCGCTTTCCTTTCCCATCCGTCGATTCCTTCCTCTCCTCGTTCACTCCCTCCCCCTTCCTCCCTCCAACCGCTCTCCTCCCCTCACCTTTGCCTCAGCTTTCTTGCCCTCTCACATTTCTCTATGGCTTTATCCTGCTCTTCCTCCCCCTTGATCGTGCATCTCTTACTCCTCTTCCTCCTCCCTCCTCCAGCCATTCCCTGTCGTTCACTCGGTCCCACAGGCTCGGCGAGAGCTCTCGGCTGGCAAATCTTGAGATGCGATGGATCAGAGAGCTACGCTGATGGTATTCCGTTCTTCTGTTACCCCAGTAACTTGTTGGCCCCCTCCTCTTTGTGTAGATTATCAAGTCACACTTGTCGTTATGCATGCAAAATTAAAGAAAGTCTGTGCGTTGTTGTTGCGGCCACTCAGAAATCTGCGGTGTTTGGGCAGAGCACAACAAATTGACAACCACTCTTCACTCTTCTTCTTTTAAATATATCATCCATTCCCTATCGTTGTCATGGCAACGTTTGATTGAGTTCATCAAAACCTTGATAGGCAAGCCTACAATGGTCCATCCTTACAGTAGCTGAGATCGCTCAATCACTCTCCTTGCTTGTACCTCCCCCTTGATGTACATGTCGAATCTCCCCTCCCTCTACGGCACCTCCTCCTCACCCCGCCGCAAACTCATCCGATCGTTCAGCATGCAAACATCTGATGACACGACCTTACGAGGGCACCTTGGCTCTGCAATACTCAACAAACTGCGAGGCAGTTCAGCTTCTCTGACACTAAGAGCAAGACATTGCAATTTCACCTCGTCAATCACCACTGGCCACGCGCTGTTTTCCAGGTCGATGTTTGAGAAGTCCTCATTCACAGTTTGCCTGCAGATGTATCACCATGATCACAGCAACATGCCCATCTCTTACGAGAACTCAAGGGTGAGTTGCCAGGTGTCTTTGGTAATCGCCTTGTTGTACACTTTCTCGAGGTATTCACACCATAGGTCCAGATGATCGAATCGTCCCTCTAACAACATCCTCCAAAGCTGTATGGCTGTTTGTAGGTCAAGAACCTTCTGCCCATCTTGTCTGCCATGTCCCATTCACACGTCGAGTGACGCTGAAACAACACGACGGTACCGAGAGATGTCGAAGGCGTACGCGTAGAAATCTTTGAATTTGCTGGGACTTGAAAGCTCAGACCGCATGTGCTTGAGGCTGCCGTGATGGCCTCAGGTCACAACAGAGACAAGCAAGGAGGATGGAGAGGATGAAGAAGATCAACCGAGACGATAGAGAGACAGTGGATGAAGAGAGATGGCAAGAAAGGAGATGTTGAGAAAGAGGACGGAGGGAGATGACGGAGAGACAAAGGAGGATAGAGAGAGAGATGGTGAGAAAGGAGGATCAACGTAGGGGAGAGTTAACCTGTCTCTTATCTTCTCTATGGAGTCTACACCCAGCCGAGACAACCCTTGCACGAACTCCGCGTTGGTCCATCTTACCGCGCTCTTGGCCTGCACAATGCACAGTTGCGATTGAGCATGGCGGGGAAGGAGTCGTGCGCAAGCTTGACCTTGAGGTTGTAACAGAAGTAAAGCATCCGCAGGTCGTCGGGAGGAATCTCCAGGTCGTTGCAGAAGTTGATCAGACCGTCAACGCCTATGGCGTTGTCGTCCGAGTCTGCCAGCCGACATCATGTTGTGCACCGCAGGGTCAAGCTCCTCACCCTTGTACTTGTCAAACAGCGCTTCGATGGCCGAGCTGTCAACAGCGGGAGAGCAGAAGTCGGCGCTCTCCCAGTACACCTCGATTGCCTGAGGACAATCAACCATGGTGTCCTGTCGCTGCCATGGCAGAGCAAACCTGTCGGATGTTCCATTTGCACTTCCTCAGGATGCTCGCTGCAACTTCAGGACTGCAGTACTGGTCAAGGTGAGGCCTCTCAGTTGGAACTCACCTTGCTTGCGTGATCTCCGAGAACTGATGGCAGAGGTTCTGCTGCTCCACAGTCTGGGATCTGAATGACATCTGCCCATGCATGTCAGGAGATCGTAGGACGGGGAGGCGCTCGAGCGCGAATGCTCCTCCGGGTCTGTTCCAGCTAACTAATGAACATAGTGTGCTACATATTTGAACGACGGCAAGTGCCATGTCAAAGCTCCTTGTCTTGCACACTGTAGAGCACGCAATCTTGCCGGTTTGTTGGACCGAATCTTCACAAAACTGTGTCTCTGCTCTCGTTTCCACGCTCGACCACCCAAACGACTTTCATGGCACGGACAGCCCATCTCAAAAAATATTCAATGCCAATCCCTATCCTCTTCCTCCTGTTGATGCTGCTGCTGCTGCTGCTGCTGCTGCTGCTGCTGCTGCTCTCGCTCCTGATCTCACTCCTGATTCCGATCACGCTTCTCTTCATGCTCCTGCTCCTCCTCTCTCCGTTCGTCCTTCCGGCTCTGCCCTCTTTCCCGCCATCCGTCATCTGGGTTTTCCGTTGCGCAGCCGTTAAAAACAAACCACGGAGCCGTTTCAGATCCCGTTACGAGCAGCAGGCCGAAGGGCGATGGCTGATGAAGGTGAGGGGAGAGGCGAGGAGAGGGGAAGGGAGGAGAGGAGAGGAGAGGAGGGGAGGGAGGGAGGAGAGGAGAGAGGAGAGGAGAGGAGAGGAGTAAGTGATGTGCATGCCGTATGATCGACGAAGATGAGATGGTGTATGAGAGAGAGGCCCTGTGGCTCCCTACTATTGGAGGACCGCCATCGCGCAGCAACTTGAACCATCGAGCTCGTGATGCTCGACAGCATGACTGGCCCATGCAGGATCTTCGGAGAGCGAGGTGGACATTGAGCTCTGGGAGGCTGAGGATGAGAAGGACCAATCCGTTGATGAGAAGTAAGGCGGAGGAGGAGGGAGAAGGGAGGAGGGAGGAGAAGGGAGAGGGGGGGGAGGAACGTCTTGAAGACGATCTGTTTGACGGAGGCGCAGGGATCCTCCAACAAGCAAGGAGGAAATGAGCGCATCCAGTTCAAATTCTGTACGTTTGTTTTCACTGTTCTCCTAATCTAAACTTCCTGAAGGCCCCGTTGGACCCGGAGGAGGTGGATAAGATGCTGGACTCCAACTACTCCATGATCTTGCAACTCGTCAGGCTGCGTTATGGGTGAGTCGCCTTGCCGCTGTACGCGAAGTTCAACTCGATGGCAGCCGCGCTCCAGGGAAACCTACTGCGACCGAGCAGCGGCTCATGCAGTTGCTGGAAAGAAACCTAGCTCGATTGGTTGCAACCCGCCCCCGTCGAGCTTGATGAATCCAAGATTGGCGCAGGTAGCTGTACAGCTGAAGGCTGCTCCTCCAAGATTCTGCTTACTGACAGTCCACTAGGCCACTCGCTCCCTTGTCCGCCAGTCCGCGGACTCTGAAAGGAAATGATGCAGATTCCAGTTGCGGATTAATTGTACCCTTTTATAAGCTATTGTGTTATTCTTGAAAAGAGTTCTCTCTGTTGTCCTGAGAAACGTGCAAATTCATCTCCTTTGCTAGTGACAAAACGTTTTCTCCATTTGGCATGTCACATGTCAACAAAGCTGTACTTGTCAAATAGTAAATTTAAGCTTAGGAATGTTTTGATCTGGATGTTTCTGTTGCTTCACTTCTACACGTTTTCGCATGTACTAGGAGAATAAATATCGATGATTAGCATTTGACTCTTGTTACCAAAATTTAGGAACATCCCACCACCTCTCAGATTGTCTGACCCCCTCTTTGTCTGTTTTCATCGTGTTCTCGACCGTTACGTAGCCAAGGGAGAGAGCACTTCCATGTATGCCTTCTCCTCGGTTGTCCATGAAACCTCCAGCGGGGACGTACTTGTAATCCTGCCCTATCTTGTTGGAATCATCTGGCAGGTCCTCACGATTCGCTTGGACCTGATGCTACAAATCGTGAGCCAGGATCATAGGGTTTCGAGAAATCAAAGGCACCAACATCAAACGCCACTGTCGGACTAGTCAACCGAGATGGAGACCAGACTTGGTCGGACCGTTGTAGTCCAGGGTTGTTTCCAAACCACAATCATTCACTCCCGTGATCTCGTTGACAATTAGTTGTGGTTGAGATATGTAGAAGAGAGGGCCAGACCATGGCTACATCTTATCAACACAGTATCATATATTACAATCGAGATCCAAACCTTACAGGGCACTACAAAATCAAAAGTCAACAAGTAAGCTAAAATCAATGAACGAAAGTTTGTTGAAGATTCTTCATCGCCCCCCCCAAGTAGGAGTCGCTCATTTTCTTGCAGTCGTCCCAGAGATTTGACAACCCCGATCCAATGTTCAGCTCAAACTTCTCAGGCTCTCGTGTGCTTGTCTGCTCGAGTTCCGGAACAAAGTAATGTATTGGCCTGGACTCTTCAGACTCCTTTGGCTGACCGAGACGAGCGTACGTCTTGATCAGGTATCGATTTATTTCCGACTTCCTTCTCGTCTTAGTGCTTGATTGCTCACTGGATTCGCTTTTCAGGTTGATACGCTTGTAGCTTGCTGTCGACAAGTCGTTCATGGAGCCTCGTCGGGCCAAAGCATTTGAAACAATTACTTCAGAGCTTTGTGTCAGTGCAGGAGGGACGGTCTCAATGTCTTCCTGTTCGCGTTTGTCGAGCCCTTTCTCCTGCAGCTGACTCCACTGCGATGAGGCATCGATGTCAATGGCAGCAATAGCATGCATGTCAGACATGCTTCTACTAGAAACAAGCCGATTCGTTAAGGCACGGATCCGGTTGTCACGGTAACCCAGCTCCTCGTTGACTTGCGAGATATTCACGCGCAGGTTTCGGCTGGAGCCATTCTGAGATCCTGAGTCGGATGAGGCGACGGAACCAAGAGAAGAGAAGTTGGAAGCAGAAGAAGCCTGCTTCATGAGCCACTCTCTCCTCTTGTCGCGCATGGCTGTCGTCATGGTTGCCTGCATTTCCCGCCGGCTCGTGGCTTGTGACGGCCGTGGGACGCTGCGTGGGGAACAAGGCCGAAAGTTCCGAAATATTATTGGAAGGCGGGGTAGAAGGGAAGGGGGTGGGGGTAGTAGTGGTGGGGTCCAACATCAAAGTTAACATTTGATAAGGACCCCTGATTTCTAGCGACCCACCAGCCTACAAATCCTTTGCATAGGGGGGTGGTACTAGGAAGCCTAGCCAGTGGTGTGTTTGACTGCGACGGTGAAGTAGCACTTTCGAGGGTAGGGTGGGAACTTCCGGGGACTGTGGGGTAGGGTCTCGTGGGCCAGGTACGTAAGGTGAAAATAGCATCGAAGTTGAGTTTTCAGAGGTTAGGAGGTCTTAGGTACACCTATGACACCCCTACAAAAATTGGTGGGATACCCCACCTTTACTTTTGTTTTCTTTTATTTTCCGTTTTACAAAGGCGTTCAGTGGAGTACGTGGGGTACTCTCTAGGAACCTACGCCGCAGGTCTTACCAGCACCGTAGCCTTGTAACTCCTTGGCACTCGGAGCATAGGCCGTTATTTCCGTAGTAGCAAGCCACAGTCTCTTTACTCAAAGTTAAGTTAAAAAATCTGTAGCCGTACGAGGACAATCAGGAGCCTGAGTCGAGGACTGAGTAGCTCCGAGTCAGACTCTGAGAGTCAGGGCCCGGGGCTCAGATCGGCCCCGGCCCGGCGGCGGCGGCGGCGCCGGACTCCGAGGCTCCGGGACTCGGAGTAGGCTGGCCCCTCGGACGGTTACTAGTTACACGGTGGCCGGGCGGGCGGTGACGGCCCGGTACAACCTCATCGGATCGCCATTGATCCATCAGCATGTAAACAATATAGCCCTCACTGCGGCGCCCGGCGCGCCGCGGAGTCTGCATTCTTCCCGGAACGTGACTCCCGTCAGTCTGACGGTCCGCCGGTGACCGGCGCCGCGGTGGGCGGGCCTGAGTCACGGCCGGGCGCCGACCGTCCGCTGTGACTGCCCGGCTGTTGCTTTCAAGGCACGGTTTGTTCTCCATCAGCCGCAAGTTGGTGAGCGCGGCAAGTTTTTCTGATCAGTCACAAGTTGAATGGCGTACTCCAAGTTCAGTATCCGATGATCCGAGTCGGAGTTCCCCCGGCCCGGGCGCCGCGCCTCTCACGGTGAACTTCCGGGAACCCGGCCGGGCCGCCCGGGGGCGCCGGGAATCGCCGGCGCCGGGAGCTTACGGTAGTACGTAGCGCTGACTCGGAGTCACTGCGGCAGTCCGAGTGAGACCGGGTGACCCTGCTTGCCTCAGGCTAGCGGCGCCCGGCCGCCACCGTCACAGGCGGGACTCCCGGCGCGGCCAGGGCCGCCGCCGCCGGCTCCGAGAAACTGAACTAACGGTTGGGCCGCCGCCAGTGTGACTGAACTTCGCCGGAAGTTCAGACTCGGCTTGGATACCACCCCACCCTTTGCCGAACATGTTCTACAAGCCTATCTCATCACCACCCATGTGACCTCACTACTACCCCGTGTAATGCCATTGGAAATCCGGAATAAGGTTGGGTTACATCGTATACCCCACCCCTACTTTGATGCCCTTCTGTACAGCAATTCCAATCCCACCCCGTTCTTTTCGACCACAACACTCTTTACGGTGCGATAGTCTCATTTCGTAGTCCCAGGAATGGGAACACGCTTCTCTACGATCTCCTCCTCCCCTTCCTCCTTGCTCTCTTCATCTTCCTCCTTGTCCTCATCCAATCTCTCTCTAACGTGCATAGACCAATCCTCGTCATCGTCCATGCTTTCGCATGCTTCAACGCCTGATACTTCTTTGTTATCACATACCCTAGCCTCTAGGCAGAACGTTGGCAAGAACACCCTGGAGGTCAAAGACCCCTCCTCAACTTTATTCGGAGTATCAGAACTTCTCGTAGCATCATCGTCATCGAAAGCCTCTGAAAGTTGTTCCTCGAGGATGTGTAGTTGCGAAGTGTCTCCAAGACCCTCATGTGGCAGCCATAGCAGCAAGCCAGATCTCCTCGCGGGCACCTCATTCACCAGACCTTGCAACCCGGGCATCCATGCGTTTGACTCAGTGAAAAGATACGACACACGCGGAAGCAAGGATGCGAAAGACCCATTCAAAATGGAATTGATTGATTGGAGCAACGATGAGTCTGTAGAGTTTCACAACAGCAGGAATACTGCCATGAACTTTGAGATGCTAAAGCGCTCGTCAGGAAGGCGTTCAGTGCTCTACCTATGCCTACCTATCAGATCTCCTCCCATGATGCTCACAAAACGCGCAAAGCGGAGAAAAGCGAAGGGAACATCCTCCAAGAAACACAGCGATGTCATCGTAAGTTTCAGCCCTGAACCTCCTGAAATTATTCCGAGCCATACACCGTTGCATGAATCAAGTCATCAACATGATATTGAGATTTGTGTCGTCAAACGATCACATCTGAGTATATCGGACGTTATCTTAAGCGCTGTATAGTCTTGAGTGCTTCAGCTTGAAAAATCAGTTCCGTGGAGTCCGCACATATATAGCGCTGCAATGTAATGAATTTGTAATTAGAGACCAAACATTAAATACTGAGACTTCTCCTGCATAAAACGATACTGTGCACCATGCCAAACCACTGTTTGAGTCTAAAAAGCTTTTTCAATCAGGAATTGCGTTTTGCCTTTCTCAGTTCAATTTCATACATATTGTTTCATCAGTCAGGTTAACAGGTAAATATAAGATTTAGATTTCTATAGACCGCCAAGTCTCATTCCACGAGGTTTGTGCTTTCAAGAGCTGTGCGAATGTTTTTAGCTACAGAAAACATGCGAGCAGTAACTTACGGTTGTAAACCATGAGCTTTTCGATCAAGTCAACATGTGTAAGCAACATTCCTAAAAATTCCAAATCAATGAAGAATTCATGTGCACTGATAAGCAGAGCAAACAGAAAATCAATCAAAAATTAGGTTATGTTTCTTGTCAACTCAGCGGATGAAAGATGGGACATGCAACTTACTTCGACAACAGTATCGCTTCAGCCCCAACTCCTCGAAAGCTTTCACCTGGAGTTCGACAGTCATTCGAGAAGTCGCGGAGTGATCTGAAATGCACCTCGGCTCCATCTTCCTTATCGTAGTTTTCCAGGATTTCGAGGTATCTTCGCCACATGTGCCCAATGGTCTGTTTTGTCAAGGGAATTACACAATCATAACCCAAGCTTGACGCAAACAAGCCTCACCTTGTTACACGTAAAGCATCGAATAGGAATAATCATATCTCCTCTCCGAAATAAACCTGGCGGTGCCAAACGTTATGACATAGCCAAGGCAGGATCCTGATCAAATAGGCCATTCAGACCGTCTGCACTCTGTTCATTTTTCATGATTGAATGAGTTCTTTGTAAACCAGTCTCTAGCCTACACTCCCACCTGCCCTACCGTGACCTGCCCCTCCATGCCAAACATGCCCTGCCCTTCTTTGTTCTGCTCTGCCCTGCCTTGCTGTGTCAGGCCCTTTCCCTTTTTCTACTCTGCTCTGCCTGTTTTGTGACTTGTCTTATCACTCCATTGGCATGTATGCATAGCTCCATCGCCTCTGCCGCTTTCCGCCCTTCTCCTTGACCCCAAAAGCTTGTGCATGCTCTCTCGTTAGCACTCTCTGACCCGTTCCTGGTTGACAATTGAATTTCCAACCAAATATTACTTTCTTCATTTTGAAGTTTGAAATTTGAAATCAAAATTTGGAATATGAATATCAAATGATTATAAAATTGGGTGGGGTAGTGCTTCTCTCAGCCACAAGGACCCCGCACTGAAATTGTTTTGAGAACCTGGTAGGGTATATTTTATCCATGGATTTGAGGGGTAGGGTAGTATTTTGAGTTGGGTGTGAAGTGCGAGGGCGGGTACTTACCATCGACGGTGGGGTACACTTGCAGTAGGATAATTGTTGATTCTATCATACCGTACACTTAGAAAATATCATAGATATAGTAATAAGTAAAATGGGGTATGGTATGAGATACATACCTTTTACTGCTCGCATCTCAACAATTCCATCTTGGATATTCCATGTACCGGTACGGGTAACCCTTCCATAGATAAAAGGGTAGGTACCCAAATTTCCTTGAGACGGGGGTATCTAGAATGAGGTTTCATGAGGTGGGGTGGTCGGGGTGGGACAAAGGTGATAGTGTCGATTTCGAATTTTCCGTGGGGTGGGGGGTAGTCAAACAACAAACTCGAGCGCTGATCACACCTGGTTTTGAAACATGTTAATGGGGGTAGGGGTGAATAAGGTAGGGGTGGTGCAGGAATGGTCCTTCCTAGATGGGATTTTTGATGCGGCAGAGGCACAGGGGGCGGGGCGGGAGTGAGCTGCGATGGCGGGTTGCGTGAATGAGTGAAGAATGGCAAATATGAAGGAAGGGATTGAGATGAGAGTGAATGCTGGGCGAGATATGCTGCTTGTTGTTGGTCTAGATGTGATGTGAAGTTCCGCACCATCGGGTGGATTGTTGTTCCTAAGGGCTCAGCGGCGACTTGTGCAAGGTGCTCGATAGCCAATGGAGATGATGAAGCTTTTGAGGATGTGTACTCCACTGTTCAGGCTTATGGCTCCTAAATATGTGTAGTGGATATCAACATGTTCATCCATTCGACAGATAGAATTCAGAGCGGCCTGATTCTAACATGATGACATGCCTGGGCAGGCTGCTTGATTGACCATGAGGAGGTTTTTTCTGTCACCCGACGAATAGGTTACGTTAGATTCGAGCCTCTGGTAAGAGCATCCAAAATGTCGAGTGCCTGGGCTGCCAGATCTCGCAGGTGAGCGTCATCTTGCCGCATTTTTCAATTTGGCGTGATGGGGGAGGCAGGTTGGAAGATGTAGGTGCAACGAGGTCCTGAGTGAATCCTTGTTCGGAGATAGGACACATGGCTCGAGGATCGAGGAAGAGATCGAGTGTGCCGAGGAGGCCAGCCTCGAGGCGTTCGCAGAGAGATTCAAGTGAAGAGGAGGTCAGTTCTGGGTCGTCAGAACAGAGTGGTAGTGAAGAGAGTCAGAGCGAGGCAGACAGCGAGTATGTTGCCTCAGAGGATGTATCAGAGGATGCCTCTAGCGGTGATGAATCTGGGCAAGAGGATATCAAGCGACCCATGCGTTCCAAGGGGAAGACACGGTCTTCGGAAGTGGAGGTTTTCTGTTGGGAAGGAGCGACCTTTACCAAGAGAAGCTCCTCGACGAAATCCAAGGTGGCAAGCACATGATGATGTACGATCGCTCTTGTGTCTAATCACTCCATTTTGGCGAGCAGGATGGGCAGAATTCTGAAAGCCCGTCGTTGCAGTGGAAATGCAACGGTTTCTGCATTATTGTGGACAATGAGTGGAGAGATGTCAAAGGCTTTCGCTTGATCGAAATAGACTCATCAAGGACAAGTATTGACTCTCTGACGATAGGGAACGAGTGAGTCTTTGACCGCTTTACCGACTATCAGTCTTATGCAAATTTCTAGGTACGAAATCAGAGGCAAAGAGTGGTACTGTTCAAAGGATATTGAACCAAAAGGTGGTTTTCTTGAAGGTCACCAAGGTTTTTTGCCGAGATCTAAAGTATTCAGTCTAAAAGTCAATCGTTATGTTCTCCCAATAATGTTTCGACTTCAGGTTTACAAAAACATCACACTTCCAAAGAAGTCATGGTTTCCTGTTACCGTGACGCAAGTAAGCCGGATAAAGGTAAATTTGAACATGTCTGGCTGATGAAATCAAGCATGATGGCAATGACTTTGTTGTCAGACCATCAAGAAGTATCTTGATGAAGATGAAGATATTCTTTCACTTGAAGTAAGCTCCTGAAACTTGTGCTTTATTTGCGTAATAGTCGGATCAGTCGGGAGTGAGCTGTACCATGCTTGTCGAAGAGGTTAAGGGATGGGTATTGCTTCGCTTGGATACAGGAGAGGTTTGAACTCCCTTCTTTTATGAACACCATCTGATTTGCAAGAACTTCAGGAAGGATGGTATCCTGCTGCGTTTGTAAAGTCCATGCGTCGATTCATTGAGATTGAGGGAGAGCAAGAGAAAGTGAGAGAGGCATATTCTCGCTTGCCTTGTGAAAACGGGAAACAAAGAAAGTCTAAGCGACCTGCTCGGAGCGCGAAACTCCGAAGTCGCTCAAGGGATGAAGAAGAGGACAATGGCGAGGATGAGAGCGAGCACGAGGAAGAGCAAAATAGCAGTGAGGAATCTTGCAGCAGGAATGAAGAGGAGGAAGAGGAGGAGGAGGACAATGGGGACGAGGACGAGGACGAGGACGAGGACGAGGATGATGATCAGGACGACGATGATGAGGATGACGATTCAAGTGATGAGGACCAAGAGGAAGAAAGTAGTGGGGAAGTGGATGACGAGAGCGAAGGCGAATACGAGAATTCTGGACCGAAACGTGCCAAGAAGAGGCCATCCTTTTCTCCTAAGAAGCCTCCTCGTGAAAGGAAACGATCTCGGCGAAGTGTAAAGCGATATTTGCCCGGCAGTGACCCCATGAAGGAGGTATCTTCACCCTCTGAATGCCTTATATCGACTCACAGCTTCTTTCAGGTACTTGTTGGGAGTGGAAAGAGAATTCGTCGTCAGACCGATAGGTTATCTCCGACTTGGAGCAGCGATGATGAGGTGCAGACGCTCTTCCGGCGCTTGTTGCATGTTTATGCCTGACGGTGCTCTCAGAGTAAGTCTGCAGCGGAAACCAAGGTTGTCGCCTCCACTGAACGGATCTCAACGCGGAATACCAAGGTAGACAGCAACGAGGATGAGTGGAAAGATCCTTGTGCTATGTGCTTCAACCCTGCCAAGAAACTTGGAAACGCCAAGACCATCGCACTCATATGTAGCAGGTTGTAGACCACTTGACCTCTCAATCAGAACCCAAAGTCACTTCTTGACAAACAGGTGTGAGGGTATTATCAAGCAAGGGTGGCCCTTCTGGCAACATTGCGATCCACCCGAGCACGAGCCTGGTCACCCCGTGTCAATCGTCAACATGTGCATCTATTGCTTCCAGGTTAGAAGCCCCTTGAGGACGTCTAGGCAGGGTTGCTGTTTTATGTGACTCCTTCTCGTCCAGGTGGTTCAACGTGATGGAATGTACACTCCTCCCAAGGAAGAGACAGAGGGAGCCAAGGTTGCTGCCCCCCCGGACGAGGCGAAATCGAAGGTCATACTTGCAACGGAGTTCACTTCCAAAGTGGTGGAGCAAGATGTGGAATCTATGTGCGAATGCCCCTTCTGCGGCAGGAAGTACCACGACCGTTGCGTTCGATACAATCGGGAGATGTATGGAGACATTCCTCCTCGATGCATCCACAGAGACTGTCAAGACAAGTGGAACTCGCTAGCGAAACCACAGCTGAACTGCCTGTACCTGAACCTGAGGGCAAGGGACATGAAAGAGAGCCCCCTGTCGCAGCACATGCAGAGCTATGTGGCGAAGAAGGTGTTCAAGGGCTTGGAGAAGAGCTGCCCTGTGATCATCAGGACGGTCAGCAACGTGAAGAGAATGCAGGAGAGCACGCCAGGCTTCACTGCACGTTTCGGCAAACAGAACTTCCCATACCTGCTGAAGAACATCATGTGCTTCGTTGAGTGTGAGGACGAAACCGATGTAGCATTTCTGGGACTGGTGGTGGCAGAGTTTGGATCAGACGCTCCCGAGCCGAACAAGAACAAGGCTTACATCTCCTACATCGACTCCGTCCAGCTTTACCACAAGGCCTCGTGCTGCCTGCGGGGGAGGGATGTCTGCAGCAGTAGCACCTGCTCAGACCCTGAAGAGTGCACCCGAGAGAGGAAGGAGGTTGTCCGCAGAGTTCTACTTGGATACCTGGATGCTGTGAAGAAGCGAGGGTTCGAAGCCCTTTTTATATGGAGCATGCCGCCCAACGATCTGCATCACGATTACATCTTCCACATGCGGCCGCTGCATCAACATTGCCCCACTCCTGCACAGCTCGACTCGTGGTATGCGAAGCTCCTGAACGTTGCTAAGCAGGAGGGGATCATCACGGACTGGGACAGCAACGCCCGTCGGGACGAGGATGGGGAGCAGGATAGGAGTCTTCCCCGGTCGCTTTTCGGGCCTGACATGTCGTTGCGGCACGTCCCGCAGTTCCCAGGAGGGCTGATGCTTCGAGCGCTGGAAGCCGCCTTGTCGGGAGGAGATGCGAAACTGACGTCATCAGCCACTCCGAGCAGACCAGAAACGAGCAAGAGGGCGAGAGCTGAAGTGACTCCCCCTGCTGATAGCGGGCCTTCGCGCTCGGAGGGGAGGAGGATAAGCCGAGAGCTGACCATCCAGAGCCATGAAAGGCACCAGCGGGCAGTTGAGGCGATGAACAAGTACATGCAGCGGAACAGTGAGATGGGGTCGATCTTCATGGTACAGTACTCCAAGGACAAGGCCGGGAGTGGGAAGAGTAAGTCGAGCAGCAAGCATCGGGAGGAGACCCTCGAGGAAGACCCCCTGGTGAACGTGGACGAGGATAAGCACGAGTTCACCCTGAACGAGTGCGCGCACCTATGCACGCTGCTCAACGACCTCCACCTGCAGTTCAACGACATGCGTCACGGCAAGTTCTCCACGATGATGATGATCCACAGACTGGTACGGCAGCTCCTCATCAAGTCGGAGAGCCTGAAGAAGGCGCATCCGGCGCCAGCGACTGTGCGAGGAAGAATCTTGGACGTGGCTGATGCGTTGCTGCACCGCCTTGGCGGCAGCAGTGGAAGTGTTAGGCAGGTTTTCAGGTCGACCAACGGAGCCTCGCCCAAGGACGAGATACAGCGGGGAGGCAGCAAGGAGTGGAGGGAAGAATCGAAGCTGTGGAAGGCGATGAAGAGGGCGAGCCATCACGTTTCGGAGGAGACGGAAGACTCTGTCCGTGAGCTGACAGCACGTCAGAGGAGAAATCTGAATGACGCAGCCGATGCTGTAAGTTCCTTCTTTCCTCCCCTCCCCTCCCCTCCCCTCACTTCCTCTTCGCTCCCCTCCCTCCTCCTCTCTCCTCCGCGCCTCTACCTCAACCTGCATGCCTCTCGTTCTCTCCCCCTTTCTCTGGCTGTTGCTTGACATCCTGCCTCAACCCGCCTTCCACCCCTCCTCTCTCCTAACACTGGACCGGTCAGGCTGCCTCGCACAAGTGCAACAGCAGATGCGCCGACGGCAAGTGCAACAAGTACGACTGGGAGTTCGCGTGCCCGGTGGTGTGCCGGTGTGGCCGGGAGAACCACCCACCTGAGGAGATGCTGTGGGATTGCAAGTGGTGCTTCTGCGAGTGGTGCTGTAGCTGGCAGCACACTTGCTGCATGCGGGAGGACCCGCTCGTGTGCTTCGATGAGGCGATCGAGGCTCGTGACATCTGCTACGACACGGACTACAACTACATGTGCCACTTGTGCTCGGCCATGCCGCAGGTAACGCCCCCCACCCCCTCCCCCCCCTCCTACTTAAATCCCTCCTGCATACATAGTGTGAGGTTGATCTGTGTGTAGGTGGTGGCGATCAGGAGCAAGGGAAGGCACAAGGATCCGATCATCCTGCGGAAGGAGCCGCTGAAGCGGAAGAGGGGAAGGCCGCCAATTCGCCGGGATGCGGAGGAGACGAAGAAGCGAGAGGAGGACGCGAAGCTAGCGATCGCGCGGTCGAGCGGATCGAGCGATCACGTGCGTCCTTACAAGCTTGCAAAAACGGCGGGAAGCGATGGGAAGGCAGGAGGAGAGGAGAGCAAGAGTCGCGAGGCACAACCTCCTTCAGCGCGCGGGAAGAAGAAGAGGAGGGGATACAAGTTCACACACATCAAGAACACCAAGATCAGAAGCAAAGGAGAAGGGGCAGGGCGAGAGGCCGAGGAGGCTGTCAAGGAAACGCAGAGCTCAGGCAAGAAGGCGCGAAAGAGGGAGGTGGACGCGGAGAGCGTAGGAGACAGCGGGTCGAGGAGGAGCTCGATCCCTGGGATCACCGACAAGGATACCAGGGATGAGATCTACCTCAGCCGGTTCGAGCACAAGGTCAGGAATTCCTCCTGGAGCTCAGTGCTTCATCCTTCCTTTCTCTCCTTCCTTTCATTCTCAGTTTCTTCTAGCCTTCGTTCTTCCCTTCCCTTCCCTCCATCCTCTCCTCCACTTTGTTCATCCCCCTTGTGATCCATTGCGCAGACTTCCAAGAGTCGCTTCTTCGTTGGGCAGAACGTCGAATGTGAAGATCGTGGAGCCTTCTACCAGGCAGAAATCAAGAGCATAGATAACAGCCTCAGGACGCAGGTCCTCCTCCCTCTTGCTCCTCCTCCTATTCACTCCTCCTTCCCGCTCCCTCTCTTCCTTCTCCTCCCCCCTTGCCTTCATCTGCTATCCTGCGCGCTATTCCCCCTCCACACCCCATCTCATCTCCTCGGAGCTGACAGTCGCCTTTCAGCGGGTGCTCGTGCACTTCAAAGGATGGTCCATCCGCTACGACGTCTGGCTCGCAGCGGATAGCTCCCGTGCGTTCTCTTCTCAGTCGGACACTTTTAGGAAGGACACTGACGAGGACCCCGCAGGAATCCGCCCGCTCGCCGAGTCCAAAACGTCATGACATGTACAGTATGAATAACATCACTTCTTCTCAACGAAAAGTCTCAAGAATCTCTCAACAGTGGGAGGGATGGAGGAGGAGGGGGAGGGGCGAGGAGGCCGGAGTTGCTCACTTCCAGTACTCGTCGAACAAGCGCCAGACCACAGAGAACAGCATCCCCTGCTCTCCCCCAGTCACTGTCAAGATGCCGGCATGTTCCGTACCTGGAGGCCGTTGGTAACAAGACGAGTGCCGAGGCCGCGGCCAAGGAGCCCCTTGATACCATCCACCTGCATCACATTCTGAGAGAATCGAGTCAGCACTTCTGAACAGCTTCCTCCTCCTCGTCTACCACAACCACCATCCCAGCTCCTCCTCCTTCGTCTCGTCGTCATCCTCGTCCCAACAGCCCCCTCTTCTCTCCCGCTTCCTCCGAACCTGAACAGCCTCGACGTAGGAGATTCGCTGCGGTGACGTTTGCTTGGTCGTCTTGATGACACGGAGAGAGTTAGAGCAGCAGTCCGAAACCGCTGCCAACGGCTTGTCAAGGGAACCTGCCCAGCAGAGGAGCAAGCTCACCTGACGCACAGAGTCCGATCCAAGCGTTCCTCAAGAGCTTGACAGCCAGGTTGTTATCTTTACAAACGTCAGCCGCTGCCCTCATCCCCTGTTTCCTCCACTCACCAGCCTGGGGGATCATGGACTGTAGCGTGTTGAAGGTGGCAAACCAAGGATAGTGACCGACGAACGAGCTGCAAGGACGAGAGTAAGACTTTTGCTTCCTCTACTCTCCCGTCATTCGACTCTCCTTCCTCTCCAGCATCTGTCCTTGCTGCAACACCCTGGAGCCCACTTCCTTGCTGCCTCTCTTACTCTCGCTTATCCTGTCAGCTACCCCTGCCTCCTGTACTGCTCCTTCCGTACCTTCCGAGCGTTGCTGCACTTCCTTCAAAGAGAACTCCAACACCACGAGCTCTGATCTTGGCAAGGAGCTTCTGGAAACCTTCCTCCTCCACCTGTATGTGATGTCATCTGCAGATGCTGCTACTGCTGCTGGATTGCTCCATCCTTTCAATCTCCTCCTCCTCCTCCTCCTCCTCCTCCTCCTGACTTTGCTCATCGCCACCCACACACCTGCATGTTCGTCTTGAACGAGTCGATAGGCATCAACCATATCCTCCACAGGGCAGCTGCAGCGCTTGCGCAGACAGTCTTGACGAAGGGAGGAAGTTCCCGTGTGCTGTCGAAGCTCTCGAGGAGGACCACCATGCCTGCGTTCGCTGCTGTGTCTCCGAAGCGAGAGAGGGGCTGCTGGAGCAGCGCGAATCCTACCCCCCGGTAGAACCTTCCTACCCCTCCCTCTTTGTACAGTTTCGCCATGACCTCGGACATGCTCCCTCCATACCTGTACTGGTAGTTCATCGTCGTCCTCAGCCACATGAGCGACAGGACTTGCAAGACGCCTGCTGCTGCTCCCGACCTTCCTCCTCCTATGGCCCTAGTCGCTGCCTTCTTGAGGACCTCGCCAAGGTCCGCAGGAGGGCCCCGCTCCCCCTTGGCTGTGCCTGCAGCCGCATGCGCTGCCTTGGCACCGAAGAACATGTCGAGGACAGGGAGGATCAAGATTCCAGCAGCAGCACTCAGAAGCCTCCTCCTAGTCAGCAGGTCCGCCTGGCTCTCCAGCACCTCTCCTGTACCCGGCCCTGGATCCTTCTTCTTCAGGTGGCAAACTACATGCTTCCCCTCGGCTCCGATCGCTCTCAACGCTGGAGGCGCCATGAAGCCGGCGGGAGTTGTATGGATGGCGCCGGCGAAGCTTCGGCACATCGCCATCGCCACCAGCGCGCTTACAAGAATCTTTCTCCCTCCCCTCTTCGTAGCCTGCATTGTACTGTGGCCGCTGCCTCTGGATCCCCATCTACACTGGTCACGGATTCCTCCCACCTACCCCCACCCCCTCCTAGCATATGGTGCTGTTGACACCACCCCTTTATTCAATGGTTGAACATGAATTTGGACCACCCTACCCGTATTTATCCAGTCCATTTTATATTGATAACCCACTTCAGAGTGGACCCCACCCTAGTATTCGACAACCCCTACCCCGTGCTCAGTCCCCTTGAAGTGTCCGCAGGCCATTTCGGATCGAGGCGTACGATGGCGTGATGGGGCAGGGAGGAAGCAGCGCGTGCTGTGGCCGAGAGAGGGAGAGGAGGGGGGAGGAAGGAGACGACATCGAAGTACGCATGCCTCTCAGAAGGATCACAGCCTTGCAGGACACCAGAGTTCACTTCATCAATGACGCGCCGATGTTTTGCATGTGGGAGGAAGGGATCGGTAGGGGAAAGGAGCCGAAGATGGTGAAGGATATCAATGGTGTAAGTCTGTTCCTCGTGGTTGGAGGAGATACAGGGAAACTGATGCTTCCTGGAGGCCTTGATCATGCGGTAAGTGGGAGCCTGTATAGTTTCTTGCCCCTGAAACCCTCCTCCCCAGCATATCCTCAGGCGTTCTCCATCCTCCGACGAGTGGTTTCTTCTCGTGTCAGACCGAGTTCGCGCACGAGTTGCGAGGAAGGAAGGGAGAGGAAGGACTGATGATTCGGGCCTCCTCCTCGTGAACATCCTGCCAGAGCCCTTCCCCTCCATGACCGATGAAATCTCGTTCCCCGCTCCCATTCTAGCGGTCCGAGGCAGCCTACAGGCCAAGGAGTACTACATCGAGGATTGCTCGCAGGAGGGAGGACGACGAGTAGCCCGAGCAGTGAGCTCAGCATCTTGTCTTAGCAGGGTCGATGTCTGACATGAAGTGCATGCAGAGCAGGAAGTTGTCGACAAGGCACATCCCGACTGAGGACAAGATGTATATGATAGAGGTGGCGCCAGGACTGGACGTAGCGTTGGTGAGTTTCAACCTCTATTGCTCCTGCTGCTCCTGCTCATCCTGCTCATCCTGCTCCTGCTCCTCCTGCGCCTCCTGCTCCTGCTATTCCCGCCCGACCCGCTCCTGTTCCCGCTCCTTCGCCTACTCCTTCCTCCATCCTTCTTCATCCTTGCTTCTCCTCGTCTATGGTCGAGCATGCTTCTGCCCTCCGCACCTTACCCCGCTTCTCGTTTCTGTGGGTTCAAGACAACCTGACTATGCTTGTTCCTCGCTGTTGGTAGGTGATGTGTCTTGCTGCGGTTATCGACCAGATTTGATCCCATCGTTGTAAATGGTCGCAAACACCACAGGGAAGGGTTGACCGGAGAGTCGGTGATGATGGATCCGAAACTTCTCAATGGATGTTGTTTAATGCTCGTTCGAAGTAGATTGTTGATTTGATAATAAGAGATAGTTCGCTTGATAGGCAGGAGTCCTTCTTGTTGTAGAGTCCTCCATTCCTCCATTTCAAACTTCATTGAAAGGAAAAAATGGCAAAAGTATACGTGGATTTCAGATAGAAGGCATTGGCCATGCAACGACGGCATCGGGTTGGTAAAGGGACATGTTTAGTAATCATCGCCGCGGGAAAGAACTTCTTTCCTTGTGGGACGGAGAACAAGGGTGTGCTCATACTGACAACAGATATCAGGCAAGTTCAAGAAAGGGCTTGATTGAGTACCTGTGCTGTGTAGCTTCCCTTGACGTCAACCAGTGGAGGATAAGCCTGAACCAAGCCAACGTCGCAGAGATTCTTGAGGCCCAGGAGGTACTGGAGGAGAGGACAGTCAGACCCGTAAGCTCGTTAGACCGTTTCTTCTTTACCTGTTTGCATCCCAAGCGATCCAAGTAGCGACGGCAGAAGGCAAGAGTGCCGAAGTTGCGGTCGATCACCCCGAGGAGCTCCTTGGCCTTCGCCATCCTGAGAGGGATGTGGCCGGCATCGAAGTTCTTCATGTAGTGACTGCAAGCAACGTCAGCACGGGAGGCGCCTTCCTCCTGCTTTACCTGCACTCGAGATCCTCATGCACGACCCCCTTGCCAGTAGACCCGAATGTCTCAATCGCGTAGAACTCACCCTCCTCCATCTTGGTGGCTTCGCCTCCCTTCACGATGGGAACGCTCTTGCCCGCATGGATCTGGTAGGGGTTGATGGAGTGGCCGTTGAGGTTCCTGATTGCCTTGACCGGGTAGACCTTGCCGTCAATCTCGACCTCGTACGACTCCATGACCTCCTGGATCGCCTCCCCGATGTCGCACAGCCTCACGTCGATACCCGCCTCCTTGATTCCCGTGTTGGTAGCCTCCTTCACAGCCTGAGCGAGGGGGTCGTAGCGCGGGTTGAAGTAGTGCGTGAAGGCGCAGTCGATGATTCTTCCGTTGACGTGGGTGCCGAAGTCAAACTTGACGATGTCGTCGTACTGCAGCACCGTCTTGTCTCCTCCGTTGGGCGTCCAGTGCGCAGCAACATGGTTGATGCTGCATCCGGTAGGGAACGCGATGCCGCGCTCGGGGAACTTGTCCTTGATAAGCTCTCGGACCTTGTCCTCGAGCTTCTCGCAGAGGTCAATCATCAGCTCTCCGGGCTTGGCGATGGACTGGAGGTACTTGCGCGCGGTCCTGTGCACTTCAGCTCCCTCCCTCGCCTCCTGGTAGATGTGGCTCTCAAGGCGCTCCTGCTCCTTGAGCTCTGCCGACGTGCTGCGGTAGGCGTTGAGCCCCTGGTACTCCTGGATCTCTCCTTCAGGAAAGTTTCCGTTGGGAAAGAGGTCCATGATGGGGACCGACGGCACCGGCCACGTCTGCTCCTTCGGGGTCACGTCCTTGCCCTTTTTCTTCTTTCCCTCGCCGCCCTGCTGCTCTGTGTTGCCACCCTTGTTCTCGTTGTTGCCCGCGTTGGAGTTCTCAATCAGCCCATTCTCTTGCATCGCGGACTTCACTCGCTTCTCAGACACCTGCCATCCCTTCCCCTCCTTGAGGTTGGTCCATACCTTCTTGATCCCGAACTCAGGGTTAGCCGTCTTGAGCTCCTTGATGGCAGCGATGAGCTCCTCAGCCGTCGGCAGGTAGCCGGTCCCGGCATTGTTTGCATCGCCCATGATGACTGGGACAACAAGAGTCAGTGTTGCGCACATGTTTAGGACTTGTAGGGGACGAGGGGAGGTGTCAAACATTGTACTTGCTCGAGAA